TTTTTCTATGGATTTGACTTTTCTTCTCCCTCTCAAAAATGCTTGGCTTTGTCAGCCTATCATTAGCGCGCCCTCTCTCACCCTCTGGGTCTTTATCCTTTTTGGATTTGGCAGCTACATGGGGAGCTGTGGTATCCCCTCTTTTCTCTGTGATTTAAGTGATGTAAAACCTTCCAGAGAGATTGCTTTCAGGTGGGAGGTGTTGATATGCGATCAAATGGATTATTATCGCATCACTTGTTTTCATGCTTTGTTCTCCGTCGCTATTCATATCACTTAATGGAATTGCTGCACAACAAACACACTAGCGCACTTCACAGCACACACACACACATTCCTACAACAACAAAATCCCAGAATAAATCACTTGCAGTATACACACATTGACACAGTTTCCATGCATGCTCATCTAATGAGGCCAAATTATAGCACATTCTGCAATGCTTTTCTATTCCATTGACCCACTTTCCCTTATTTCCCTTTGAAAGTGCTAACATGGGTTTTCCATTTAAATAACAGAGTGGCTGATTAAGTCGGTCCAACTCTTGGGTGCACGCGGTTCCTGTTTCTTTTCTTGTCCTCTCGCGCTGCTGTTGTTCCTCGCTCTCCCCGGTGTTTTCAGCCTCTAAGTACAGAGAGAGAGAGAGAGAGAGAGCGATAAACTCACATTAACCTCATGAGACCTCCACCCCTGTAGCTCGCTGCTCATCTCAAGCTGCTGAGTCTCACGCAGGTTGAAATCAGCAATGACGGTGACCTCACTGTGTGGGCTTCGTGAAGGTGCACCTGATAAGATCGCTCGGACTTCTCTGGAGGGAAAAGCAAATGGCAGACAGAAAGGTTTCCATGGGAAGCAAACCTGCGGACAAAACACACAGCTTTATTACCATGGTGACTTTCCATATGATGAAGCTGCGGTTGTTGGTGTGCTGAGGTCACCATGGAGATGAACCTCGTGTGTGGTTGCACCTGATTCCTGTCGGTTTAAGGGAGCAGCAAGAGGGATCTTAGGCCAGATGATAACTCTTTCTCCTTCTTTGCATCCCTCTTATTGTCTTCCCATCCGCTCGTACTTTGCTCGCGTGGTCTCTCTGTGTTTTTCTGACTCCCCCTCTCTGCTCCATATTATGTGTTGCTGAGGAAGTGTGCCAGTGCAGGGGAAAAGCTACAACATCAGAGCCGGGCTGGCTTCAAAGCTGGGGTAGGAGGGGGTGGAGTGCATTATGCATGGCCTCCTACACAGAGATTCACAGCATACATGCTCATAACGAACACATGCAGCTGAAACCCTGGCAGATTTGTATGATCATGATATATGTAGCGTAGATAGGCTCACCGGAGATCATGCCACACGTCGATACATCGGCCTGCGCGCCCACATGCGACCTATTCACACTCGGGTACAAGTACTAAAAGTGGTCACGCAATAGATTCTCATGCACGATTTTTTTTAACACAAACCACCAGCACTCCCACAACCACCAGCACCTGTCTGCTCGATCCTATTTTCAAACATGCAGAAAGCGCTCTTCACACCACACCTGTAGGTAGCTTCCAACTCCTGTTTTCAGTGAGCTGTCATTTCTTTTCACAGCTGATTTGACTCCAGATGTTCCTCTCAATACACTAGAATTAGATCTAACAAGCAGTCATTGGAAAAGATTACAGCAGATTCATTATTTTACATGGAGGAGTTGGTAATATTACACCTGATTTCATAAAGCAGTAGGAAGATGAAGACTGTAAAAAGGAGTTAAAAGCTCCTTATGCCATCCATCTATTCATTATCTATACACCGCTTTATCCTCTGTAGGGTCACATGGGGGTTGGAGTCTATCCCAGCTGACTCAGGGTGATGGCAGGTTACACCCTGGACAGGTCACCAGTCTGTCACTGTGACACATCGAGAGGCAAACAAGCACACTCACATTCACACCTACGGACACTTTAGACTCACTAATCAACCTCAGCATGTCTTTGGACTGTGGGAGGAAGCCGCAGCACCCGGTGAGAACCCACACTGGCTCAGGGAGAACATGCAAACTCCACACAGAAAGACCCCAGGCTGGGAATCGAGTCCTTGTTCTGTATATTGCTGTCTCCGCTTACAGTTTTTCTGCATATTTATTGTACTATAACTGAATGCAGAATCAAACTGAGTGCTTCATGGAGGGAAGCCTTCCTCTATGAACAACTCGATGTCCTACATTCATCCTGCTCCCTGCATGCCTCTGTTTGCTAAAATCCTCACTGTGCTCCTCAATTTTGCAAAGTGCAAATTTCATTACGCTCCTCACTTCATCACCGAGCACCAAATCAGAGGCAGAACAAAGGGCTTGTGTTGCCACATTAATGTTTAAATTTAATCTCAGACAGTCTTTCCGAGATGCTGACAAAGAACACTTGGTCTGCTCGTTGCCTTTTTTTTCAAGTGGCACATTGTTTGCACTGACGTGCTCAATGTGTTTTGCTGCAATGTGATTACGATGGAATGTGTTGTGCATAGATAAAGCCGTCCTCTCCCTGGAGCTGCTCCTGAGATGACTCTGCTGTCCGTTCCTGCTCTTGTATGCATGACGCATCCATGTCTAATGCAATCCCAGCGTGACTAAAGACCGGCAACGTGCCAAGTATGCAGTGGAGTGATCACAGGTGTTACTGCAGCTGATTCTGCTGCACAATGTGTTTGACATTCACTCACAAGGTGAGGCGATAAAGCTTCTTTAAGGAGGGAAATGATTAACAAGCGGAGTAGAGCTAACACTGTGAAGCCAGTCAGGGTGATTGTATGAAGGGGTGTTTTTTGTTTGTTTTTTTGTAGTTGCTCAGCACACAATAAGTTCCTTAATAAGAGAATTACTTTGCAAAGATGATTAATGGAAATTCAGCTCATCTGTCTACTATTGTAGAATGTCTGAATGCCCAACAGCAGGTGTGTAGAAAGTGTGTACAGTCCTCAGTTTGTTTGTGATCAGCTGCAGTGAGTGCGGCCTGGATGCTGCATTTACAAAATCCTGAAAGTAAAATAAAATACAGCAGAGACCACTTGAACCGACGCTTTCCGAGCTATCACACCCTGAGCTCGGCGTCCTGAAGGATTTGGCTGTGAGTGATATGCGGTGGGAAGTCTTTCGTCTCTTGATGGCCTTTAGCAGCCGCTGGCTATACAAGCAGCTCTGGCTTGCTCCCTGCTACAGTGCTCCGGCTCTCTTCTTTATGACTAACTCATTACACCGGCATCAAAATTTAATGACAAAATAGCCCAGTGCTCATGAAACCTCTCACAAGGCTCTCAGGGGCTGCGTTGTTTAAATTAACATTATTATGAAACAAGAAGGAAAAAGGCTGTCATAGATATATGATAAAATATGGCGCACATGGAAATAGTTACATCTAGTGGGGGCAAAACAAGGCAGAGAAATAATTATCTCAAGAAATGGAAGCATCCCCAGGGCCGAGATTACACCGGTGAGCATCACTCTTAATTAGATAGATCTGTAGTTAATGCTCCACTCTGTCCCCTGCTGCACCCTTTTTCTCATCACGTCTCTCAGCAAACATCGTTTCTCCTTCCCCTTCCTTCACACCGCCTCCTGACTACAAACAGCAATTTGGAAGGTTCCCGGAGACCGTTGGAGCACCAATGTGCGATGCTACATATTCATTTATTTCCTGAGATGGACTTGACCCCGGAGGGCAGGTTATTGAGAAATAAGAGTGAAATAATATCAGGTCAGCGCGTGTGATGTAAGCAGAGTCGCCACAGATGAGACTGAAATTGGGGCACAAGTGATCTTTTACCTTCAAAAATTGCTCCTGAGAACAAACCGACACTGTGAATATAATCTCCATTTGTCTCTGGCCGTCCTTGCCGCCTCACGGAAAAAAAAAAAGTCTCATCTGACTAATGGGAAGGGACTTCAAATGGGAATGTGCCGTCGTGCTGTTTGGGTGTAAATTATGCTCTCCCTTCTAGTTTTCTGACCCGATCTGCATTTGTCTCCGTGGCTCTAGCAAGCAGCGACTATTAAGATGTCAAATCAAGTTTATTTGTATTGCCCCTACATTATATACAATGTCTCATTTGGTTTTACAGGCCCACACTAACAACAACTCCAGATCCAAGCCAGGCAGGGTGACAAGAAAAGCTTCATAAAAGAAATTTTAGAAAAAAGGAAAAAAAGAAAAAGGGAAAGAGAAAAGCAGCAGACAACCACATGATATGACACAGTGTAATGAGAGGGAGATATGTGTCACATCTCTCTTACTATGAGTGGTAGCTTGTGTTATTATGGACTTTGAGGTGCATTGCTGAGTGGTGAGTCATAGTGATTGCTTCAGCATACCGGCCCCCCCTCTTCTCTGTCCGCATTGTGTCAGCTAACTCGCTCCACCTACTGGTCAGACACGTACATCCACAGTGCAGATTGAGCAATTGAAATCAAAGTGATGCGTGTGCCATCATCAGTTATTAAAAATGCAAACAAAAACACGTCACGAACACTTTCACACCTTATAGCACTAAAAAATTCAACACTAGTCAGTTTGACATTTCTAGGCTCACGTGGCCTTTCTCTAGTGGATGCATTCACTGAAGGAAAAAGATCACGATCTTTGCTGCTCTAATTACATTGCAAGGTTGTCCATTATGCCGTGTGTTTAAATTAGTTTCAGCTTAAATGAGTATATGGGCGAAATCGAGGTTCGTCGACAAAGGAATCGATGCCACTTTAATCACAAGATGGTGCTGTTGATTCAAAAAGAAAAGACAATTTGTGCTGCATCAAGTCATGACTGAATTTAGGTGATGACAGAGGGGGCTTGTCACCTGTAAATCTCTCTCTTCCTTCCGCCCTCTCTGGCTTTTCTCCTCTAACATCGGTGTCGTCTCTCCATCAGATGACCTCTGTGATCTGAAAGCTGAGAGCAGCCCCACCATGGACAACGAGATAACGGCCAAGGAGAGAGGCATCCTGGAGGAGAACAACGAGAAGGAGGAGATGGACCAGGAGAGATCTCAGGAGGAACGGGAGGAGGAGGAGGAGGAGGGGGAAGAAAAAAAGCTGAAGGACGAGGAAGGCGAGGGGGAGGAGAAGAGGAAGAAGGAGAACGAGCCCCTGACAGAGGAGGAGGAGCTGGAGGAGCTGAGGGCCCAGGTGCTACAGCTGTTGCTGGAGCTGGAGGACGCCAGGGAGACCTCCAACAAACACCAGGAGAGCTTCCACGAGCTGCAAGGTGAGAACTCCAGCTCTGGGTATAATTAATACTAAAACAATGTTCTTACACAATTTCTTTTTCATCATTAAATATCTTTAATCATTAATCTTGCTTTATCACAGAACAGATGTGTAACCTTTAATCAGCCTCTGTGGGAGGATCTGGTCAAGTGGTGCTGAAAAACACTTAAAAAAAAACCTTTAAATTGAACTCAGCGGAGGAGCAGGATTAGTTCTCCTGTGCTCTTTTCTTCTACTAATGTGTGCAAGATGCAATAACAAGCATCTTAGGTAACTGTGGAGGATAAATTATAGTCAGGCCTACTGTTATTCATTAAAAATGTTTAATAGAATAATGCACCATGTTTCTCTGCTGACAATTAGTATATACTGTTTATGGTCACGGGTATGCAACACATAAAATAAATCAGCCGATAATACCTCGTCCACTGTATGCAGTCTGTATAGAAACTCTTCTACCTGGAACTAGCTGCCAAACAACATCAAACTGCTCAGAAATGGAGTTTCCTTCACAAATTTATTCAAAAATGTGATCATTTTATCACTGTTTTTGTGCAGTTTGACATTGTATGTGCTTAGTGTTTATTGTTTTTAATAATTAAAGAGTGTTTAATGCATGTGTTTAACATGGACCACAGGAAGACTACTATCCTTTAGGGCACCGCTAATGGGGATGCTAATAAATATACAGATAAACCTCTACGGAGCTGAATGCAAACATCCTCGATCATCCAACCAAATACCCTAAATCCATCTGAAATTCAAAGGGAAACTACCCTTGTCAACAGGGGTGTTATATTTTTGTCCACTACTATGACTAACAGTTATGGTAACAAGAATGTCCCTGACTGGGGCAGCTGAAAAAAATAGAAATCTAACAGAAAAACTGCACTGAGTCAAACTGGTGGGAAAATTATATAGCAGATGAAGAGCAATTAGACACATCTGCAGTCTATAATTGTACTTCCCTCGCATAAACATGAGCTAAATTAAAAGCCTGCCACAGTTTACTAAAAAGTGGTATGCCATGCTAAGTAGGGCCTGTTTCACCAAATTTGCAAGATGCAAGCTAAAATTTGCAGCATGAGATAATCTTCCCTCTCTTCTCATTTTGACATGATTCACTGTTTAAAACCGAGAGTCTGCTTCATGAATTTATTAGCAGTTTGTCATCCGCTGCCATTTGTCAAATGTGCAAACTGCAAACCCACACTACCTGCAAATTGCTCTTGTAAAATGGACGCGTCTGCAGTGCACCTGCAAGGAAAGCAGAAAAACGCAAATAATCAATGGGAAATTATTAATGAGCTAAATTTTATTAACCCTCTGAACCCCAAAACCCACCTTGGAGTTTAAAAGGAATATTATCTTTAAGAAAAAAGTCGCACATTTTATCAGAGTCAGAAACTGTAAAAACAGAAAGACACTATTCTTGAACTACTCATATGTGACACGTCAGAAAAATGAACCAAATCCAAGTTTAGAATAAAAGAATGTCGTCAAAAATCTTCTTATTCTACAAGTCTCATTAAAAAAATGTATCGAAAATAAACCATTTGCACCAGATTCTGTAAAAACCAAAAATTCTGTGGCTCTTGGTGTCATTAGTGGCTCAGCTGTGACCACAAGTCACGTGACAAAATTTCAGGGATGTTTTTTGGCTGGACTGGGTTGAACTCTGTGTCTACACAGAGCAGACAGGAGACAAGGATGGAAACAAATTAGAAATGTAAGTAGTAAAATATCCATATTATGTAGAGTCACAATTTTTTTCCACAGTGTTTGCAACAACTGAACAACAAATAGAAAAATGTTGCACATGTTGATTACAGATTTTTTTAAATTTAATTTTTATAAAATAAATAAAGAAATTATTATTTTTTATTTTTTATGAGTGATGGCATCGTGTCATACTGCACAGAAAACATTTTTTAAATCTGCTTGTAGCTATGGTTGTGCTGTTTCCATAGAGGTTTAGGACTTTAGCAGTAACATTGAGCTCACAGTGAGTAAAAAATATAACAGGAGCAAAGAAAATGTCCAGAAACTGCTCACGGTTCAGGGGAATGTAAAATCACATCTCAAATAGTCACATTTTGGCTCCTCTGGTGTTTGGAGTCCTCTGGCTCTATGAAATGACTTAATTAATATTGTAGGTGTCATGAATTCCTGTTGAAATCTCAACATCTTCACCCTAACTATGATTACAGTAAACATTAAAATGTTGCATCTCAGTGAAGGTTTGTTTTTTGACAATATAAATTGAGTCACACTCCCAGAAGAAAGCTTCACTTCTCAGAACAGCTTAACTTCCCACCAGAGACATCTCTGTTCTTGACAACCTAATTGGACATGGAGAAGCGTAACTGTTTATATATGGCTACTGACATGCTCAGTGGCTCACAGCTGCTGAATAGAGCCTCACATCATACCTTAGAAATGGTGAGCTTAATGTTCGGGGACACCAGCGGTGACTCAGGCCTTCGGTATGAGGCCACAGTGTGTGTGCACATTTATGAGTGTGTGCATTCGACTACGCGTCACTCTAAGAGACATGGTGTGGTGAGCTCAGTCGTTGGTCTGGCAGCGGTCGAGGCATTCCTCAGACAACTGCGTGCGCGCTGAGGGAAGCTTCCAGACCGAGTGTGTTAGACCGCAGTCAGAAATCAGTACTGGTCAGGTCTCTCTGGGAAAAGTCAGCTGTTCAGTCTGCTGGCAGCTGATCCATGCAAAAGGATGCTGTAGTTTTGGTTTTAGATTTCTGCCCTCGCACTGCTGTGATGTATCTGGGTTAATGGATTAGTTTGTGGTGCTAACGGCATCAAAAGATTATATTTCGAAAGTTCAAAGACATGTTTGCATTGCCAGTTTTCCGGATAATCCCCATGAAAATTGATTAAAGTAAGTTTTAAATATGATTTAAACATCTAGAACTAAAGAGCCCTGTGAGGTGGTACCTGCTTATATTGAGATAATGGCAAAATGCTGATGTTTAGCAGTTATCTTTACTATGTTCTAAGTTTATCAGTGCACTAAAGTTTGTTCAGCAGCAGTAAACACAAAGTACACCTGAGGCTGCTGAGAATGTCATTAGCTTTGCAGGTATTTGATCATAAACCAAAGTTGGGACTAATTAAAAATTTTCCCTGCTGATGGCACTACAGGAAAGCGGCAGTCTAAGCTGGAGATGTTGAGATCAGTCTGGATCAAAGTGGTGGGAAGCAGACAGTATTCAATTCACATTTTGAAAAGTTAAAGCTATAATATAACTAGACATGGATGGATAGTAAGAAATATATACGTATATATACAGCACTGTGCAAATGTTTTAAGCACTCACATTCTTATCCATCACACAAAATCATCAACAAGGCATCTGATCCGTCCCAAAATAGTTGCGCAGTCATAAAGAACTATCTTCAGCCACAAGAAGAACAAGGAGTCCTGGAACAGATGGTACGACCCCCACGGAGTCCTGATCTCAACATCGCAGGGTCAGTCTGGGTTTACATGAAAAGACAGAAGACAACAAGACAAGTTCTCTAAGATGCTTCTAACAACCTAACTGTGAAAACCTTGGAGTATAGATTCTATAGATTGGGGTCGTCACACCAAATATAGATTTTCATGCTTACTGCATTCCATATGATGTAAACTGATTCATGAAAACTATTAATGGTGTTATTTTTCAGTGATCTTTTAAAAAATCTCCCATAGCATTCTATCTACATATATATTTGAAAGATTTTTGGTTTAATTGATTCTTCAGGAACACGCAGACTCAACTGGCTTTTCTCTTTATTCAACTAGTTGCTGTTGTTGTTGTGATAAAACCATCAGTGGATCTGCTTGAAATACACGACAGCATTTACTTGGCGTGACACATACCAATAGGGACCAAAAAACAAATAGAAAGTCAAAAAATAGCAGCAAACCCAAAGCTGTGAAAACTGCAGCCAAAATAATCAGCTTTATTTTCTCCCGCTGTCCCTAAAAGTTGCTAGATTCAAGAGAGTATGACTAATAAAAAGGAAAATTAGGAAATAATACACACCAAAAACACTTCCTAGACTCATGCTGATGGTGTGCTCGTGTACTATTCAGTGAATTTATCCTACAGGCAGACACACAGAGCTTTGTGTCATGCAGTCGTGCCTCAAGGTTGAGCAGCTTATCAAGGTTGTCATCTTTCTATTGGTCTGCTGAACTCACTTTTTCCTCTTATCTCTTGACACACTCTCCGTCCCTCCTCTCCACCAGGTCTGTTGGAGGATGAGCGTCTGGCGAGCGCCCATCAGGCCGAGGCCTTCACCCGGCAGATCCAGAATCTACAAGGTATCAACATAATAAAGCAAAAGCTTCATTAATAGCAGCCATTCTATCAACGATCAAACGATATATTGCTCATTCCATTTATTACCTTTGTCAATACTTATGGTCAATGATGACTTTGCTGTGTAAGCTGCTAATTTAGCATTATTCAGGAAGACTTCCATCTCGTGCCATGTCTTGTATGGATTTTCTTTTGTTTCACCCGCTCTGTCTCGTGTCGGACACAAAGTGCAGCGTATTCATGTTGGGAACTAGAACATGGCGCAATTGTTCAGGCTCATTGATTTCAGGTCATTGTCTTTTTTTTATGAGCAATTTTTGTTTTTCTTTTAGTAGATATATAAACTCACATTAGAAAAAAAACCCATTAAGACAGAGAAAAGGTTATTCTTTAAAAAATAAATAAATAAAAAAAATACTTTAATAAGGTGTGCTCAGTCATGTGAATATAAAGGCCCCCTCTGGTTAAAATCTGTTTTTTATACTGTCCATTTGGTGTTTTTATATGCTAGAAGACACACATGAGAGGAATAAGCAGTTAGGGCTGCATATGGCTGAGTATTTTCACCTTGAAACTGCCGATGAGTGTGAGAAATACAGATTCAAACTTTGAGCGTTTTAAATTTAACTCACCAATCCATTCCAAGGAGCCAAACCTGTCAGCTTGCAGGATGGGACTTTCGGCATCGATGTTTCTCTTCTGAATTGGTTTCCAGTTTGTACGACTGAATTTCTCTGATTTTAAATCTTGATATTGAGCAACATAGTTTTGCAGTGCATTTTGTAGATCTGCACATTTTAGAGAAAGCAAAGGTGCAAAAGCACATCTGAGTTTATTCAGGCAGGAAGGGGTTTTCACTGAAAAGTCAAAGAGAAACAAGATAACCGATAGAAAGGAGGAAGAAAAACCTACACATTTATTCGAGAGATAGTTTGTTTTTAAAATAGGAGCTTTCCAAACCTGGTGCTTGAGCAAAAAAAGAGAGCGATGACGAAAAATAGAAAAAGGTGGAGTGTAGCATTGTTCTCAAAGTTGGTGAGAGGTGGAGACAAATTTTTTCCCCCTGAAACTGCTAAACTAATCATCTAAACCCAACTCTGAAAAAAATAGTGTGATGGTTACCATAAGTTACATCAGCTCCTCTCTCCAACAGTACCCACACACACACACACACACACACACACACAAATGCAAGAACACACCACCCACACACACAAACACATGCAGGCTCAGGTGAGATCATACACACACACACATACACACCCATACTGACACCGCAGCCTCACCCCCACATCCTCCTTAAAGGAAACCTAACAATGTCCTCCTCCTCCTCTTCCTCCTGCCACAGCCCAGCTGCGCTCTGTGCAGGAGGAGATGGACAGCCTGGAGGAGGAGAAGGAGAGCGAGCTGGCCGAGGCCCAGGAGGAGCTGCGAGCCGCTCAGGAGGAGGTGCTGCTGCTGCAACAGGCGGCGGAGGAGGCGGCGGCAGAGAGGGAGAACGACATCGCCTCGCTGCAGGAGGAGCTGTGTCGCCGGCGGGCTGAGCTGCAGCGCCTCAGCGAAGAGACCCAGGAGTACGAGCTGGAGATCACCACGCTGAGGGCCGAGATCAGCATGAAGAGCCAGCGCAGGGAGGCCGAGAGGAGAGAGGGTGAGGGGTGAGGAGGGGAGAAGTCAGTGCAGTAAATAAAGAGTAGAAACACGGAAACCATCATAGGAAGCTTTTTGTGCAAGAATTTACAAAAACAAAAAAGACCCTTGTGAAAACAGTTTGTCTACAAAATCTGTCAATTAACAATATAAAGCACTAGATGGACACCATCACAGGTGGATGTCAGAGAAGGAGGATTAAAGAATGGAGGTGTTTTCATTAGAGTCCATGCAATGTTACTTTACATACAGGACATGAAAAATACAAAAACATAAGTCATGGTTTTACACTTGTATCTTCACACCATGTGTAAACAGCCATGAGTGAGAAAAGCCCATTAAAGACACACACATGGACCGACTGTCTCTGCTTACGCTATGGAATTTATCCAGCTTGCTGCTAGCACAAATAGCCTGCGATCAGTCTTTGTGGCTGATATTATGAAAACAAAACACGAGGTTATGGATGGCCTTATTCCCTCGCATCATGTTAGCATCCTGCAGTCAAGACCATAAATCATTCGCGGGGTTCAATAAATATTACAAATTGCAAATGTGATTGCTGAGCGTTGCAAAGGGAGTGGTGTGTGTGTGTGTGCAGATGTGTGTGTATTTAGGATACCAAGAGCGTGAAGTCATTACGGGGAGGGACGCACTTCTAGCACATGATGTCACCGCTGGGCTCTGCAGCTGGGCCTCGGGTGGGACTGAGGGAGGGGGACTTCATGTTATGTAACTGTTGTGCTCTTTCATGAGAACATCACCCAAAATGTATTTCGTATGCAAGTATAATCGAACTCAGGCTCGGGGTTTAATTTGAAAGGAGAATAGAACTGGGGAAGTTGTAGGACTTCTGGCGAGAAGGTGATCTATTCAAGAAGCTGTTTACTTTCATGTGTTTCAGTGTGTTGTAACGATGCTAAATCTACCAGCAGTGACATTAAAGATGACTCACCTCTTTTCATACCATCATGGCTGACCTTCCTTGTTCCGGCAGGTGATGTGGACCTGCTGAAGGAGGAGTGTCGTACGCTGAGGGAGGAGTGTCAAACCCTGAAGGAGGACAACAGACGTCTCTCGGAGAGGCTGCAGCTGCTGCAGAGACAGAGGACATGGTGAGAGGTCAATGCCTGCTCGCTCATCAGCTGTGCACCGCAGATCAGCTGGAGGGGATAGCCTCTGGAATACTAACCCTCGTCACAGCCATTTAGAAAACACTGAGCAGCTGCTTAATCGCTGCAGTGAATTTGTCACATCATGTAAAAGATTGCACATAACCGCGGAAACCATTTGGTCATTAATTGATAAACAATTAAAACTCATATTGAGAAAGTTCTTTCAAACGTGGCCTCAAATATTCATCAGTGTCGTTTTTACTATTTTCAAGCAATTTGTAGACGAAGCAGGAATTAACTGATAATAAATAAAGTAATAATGTGATTTATCAAAACAATTCTTAATTAAAGCCCCTGAAACCGAATAATTAGAAATCAGTGTCTCCATTAGTTATCAGACGTCTGTGCATGACTTACTGAGCACTCTACAGTGTCTCTCCAGAGTATTCACCCCTCCTTGGAAGCTTCCTTGTTTTGCCCCTCTCCCATAAAGCCCTCACAGGTGAAGAACAGTTGTTGCTGCTCCAATCTTAGCCACTGAAGCTTGTAACTCCTTTAGAGGAGTCCTTTCTTGTCACTCAGTTTTTAAGTACTGCCTGCTCTGGGCAGATTTGTGCATGTGCCCTGTTCCTTCCATTTCTTAATGATGGATTTAACTGTACTGCTCAGCGGCATGAAAACTTTCTAGTATTCGTCGCCCTGATTTATGCTTTTCAATAAGCAGGGTTATTGGGAGTGTTCTTTTGTGTAGTCACAGCCGGGAGTACTGATTCACCAGTGACTAGACCTTCCAGTTACAGGTGTCTTTATACAACAATCACTTAAAACACAATCGCTGCACTCACTTGATCTTTATTTCACTGCGTGACTTCACCAACTAGCAGCAACTAACTGCACCTGTGTTAAACTGGTGAGTCACTTTAGAAGGGGGAAAAGACTGACGCAATCATTTTAATTGACAGTACTTTGTATGAATCTGTTTTCATTTTAGCATGAAAGAGTCGTCTTTTTGTGCATTCATTTTGAAAAAGCCATGATTCAGTGTTGAAAAGCGATAAAGAGGAAAACTTCCCAGGGGTTTGAATGTGTTTGGAAGGCAAATTCTGTATGTGACAAGAAAAAAAAAAAAGAAAAAGCTCACTGTGTAATCACATAAAACAGCAACGGTGTCTGTTCTTTGTTCAATCAAAGCGTTTGGAGCTCCTTTTTGAGCTCTCATCTCCACCTTACAGCTCTAGTGTCTACCTGTCGCTGAAAGAGGAGGATGGAGTCGAGGGCACGGAGGTGAAGGAGATGGAGACCGGCTCAGATGAGGTCATGACAGAGAGCTACATGACCATGGCCCAGTCTGAGAACTGTCGCCTGGTGGACGCCTCCATCCAGAAGAATATCTCGTTTGATGGGAAGCCGGTGACGCCGACGAGCTGGAACGGAGGCATCGGGGAGATCTTCTCCCTGAGAGACCAGCTGAAACAGGCAGAGGAGAAGGCCTCACAGGTTCAGAGGGAGGTAAGGTGTCTTAGAAATGTTAGTAAAACATGCACAGGTTTGGATCAGATTTGAGAACTTTCTATTTGGTTTTGGGTGCAATAAATTCAATCAGTTACAATGAATTTGGTGTTGGAGACTGAATGTTCGACCTGTGTGTCCCCCAGTGTGACGGTCTGAAGTTGGAGCTGCAGGAGCTGCAGATACTGTACGACAGCAGCCAGAAGGAACGAGCCGAGCTGGAGGAGGAGCTGCAGCGCTGCAAGGCCGAGCTGGAGAAGCTGTCAGGAGGGACTCAGGTGAGGAACCAGCTGTCCGAGGCCGCAATGGGACGGGCCTCAGAATTAGAGAAACTAAATGTAAATGCTGTACAGCTTTGAGTGATTAATGATAGAATATTTATTGATCATTGCATTCTGAACTCAAGGCGTAATTTACCTTATGTCATAACTGATGTGAATTGATTCTAACATTTCCAGTCACGATTTCTAAGTGATTAAAGAAGTATAAAGCTTTATCTTTGCAGCCACGATGTCGACTAACAATCCTCACATTACACCCTGCTGTATCCTGTGTCTGTTGAGCCCACTTTTTTATGTGTCCCATACTGTAGCAATATATGTTTTGATATGAGCTGACCTGTGCTGTCAGCCCATATCAGTATTTATTGTGTGCTTTGGGCTGGGGAACATTCCCCCCGCTGTGTCTGTGTCCTAACCTCCCTGTGACAGCAATGCTTAAATACTGCTGTTGGACAAAAACACTAAACCTGAGAAAAAGCATTCAGGCACCAGGGGAAATAATGCATATTGCGCCACTGAAGCCTTTATGTTCGCTTTAGAAATTTTACAATAGAGCAAAAGTAATTAAAGGACTTTTGCAGCGCAGCAATTTTTTCCTTTATTTTGTACTTTCCCCCTAACATCAGACCAGTTTCTATTCCTTTTAATAAGATGCTGTGGGAAAATCTACTTTCAGTGAACTGAAACTTAACACAGTTAATTCCATGCCCATTTATGGCAACACTAGTCTTACCACTTGAAAGCATAGGTAATTCTAAAAAATCCAGCAGGATTTGCGTATTCAAGCGCTCAACTATGAGTTGCTTAACTCAAGAAGCAACAACACCTGATTTAAATGCAGACGGTTGACAAATTAAAGGAAAAAAAAAAGAGAACCCTTGACCCCTACAGTGAGGACATCTGGTGGCTCTGTTATGCTGTGGGGGGCATTTTGCTGACATGATTTGGCTCCACTTGTCCCCTTAGAGGGAAGAGTCACTGCAAATCAATACAAAGTTGTTCTGAGTGATAACCTTCATCCTGTGATGAAACATTTCTATCCCGGTAGGAGTGACAGACTCTCCCAGGATGACAATGTCCCCATCAATAGGACACGAGGGGTCACTCAGTGGTTTATTGAGTATGAAAATAATGTGAATCATACGCTGTGGCCTTCACAGGCACCAGACCTCAACCCAATGGTACACATATGTGAGATTTTGGACCAACATGTTAGACTGCGCTCTCCGCCAGCATCATCAAAACACCAAATGAGGGAATATCTTTTTGAAAGAATGGTGTTCATCCCTCCAGTAGAGGTTAAAAGACTGGACAGTCGGTAACTAGGAGCAATGAACTTGTTGTGGTGTAATGTGATGTCCCAAGACATCACTATCAGACCCCACTTAATGGAGGTTTTTCCATTAATTTGTCACATGTGTATATTTTTTCAAGACATCAAGGTGTTTTTGCTTAGTGTTCGTCTTCCAGGTGTGACTTTCTGAAGATATACTTTAAGATTTGGATTGCAGCGCTGACTGATGCTGTGCTTTCTGAAAGTTGATTTCTATACAGACTGGGCAGCAACTGCTGTCTAAAAGGTCAGGAAATATAAATATCCAAAAATCCAGAGATATGTCCAGAAATAATAAGCTTTAGAAAAGGGTTGGCAGCAATATAAAGTATGAAAACTAATGTGGCCCTTTATGTTTGAAAAAAACAACAACAAAAACAATCAGAACTGAACCTCTGTGTTTTGTCTGCAACAGCCGTGATGAGATGTCTCTGCGTTGTGTCAAACTGTCTACCCGTGCCTGTCTCTGATGCTGTCCTTGTTCTCTGAATGTCCATGACCTCTCAGCCTGTCTGACGACAAATCTTTGCAAAACATAAAAACAAATTAAGTACAAAATGAGGATAGAGAGACTGAAATACCTCCATATACTCGTCACATCATTCATGCTCTATGTCTTTTTTTATTTGCCACCATAACATCACAAGCGGCCAGTAAATGCCGCACAGGACTGCTCACACATACTCACGTTGAGTTGATGTTTATGTCACCGTTGAGTTACGCATTGTTTGTTTAATGGGAAATGGTAATCACTCCATCACAACCCTTCTTGTATAAATCACAGCCCATGCCACGCTTTTAATTTAGTGATTTTCTTTTTGTCGTGGTGGTCCGTTTGTGTTGTTGGCACGGCTCCTTATCTGTGTGTTTATGATTTGGCTACCTCAGCCCATCCATTCATTCATCCCCTTCATCTCCATGGTCCTTGTGTTTGTTTTTGTTCCCTCCTCAGAGATTCATCCATCCGTCTGAGCACCCTGTTCTCTCCATCCCCTTCATAGGAATGATTGTAATTGTGGCTGTGGTCTGGTGCTGGTTGTCGGAGCTGGCGTCCCAGAGAGCAAGGTATGGGAGGAGCTTATCTCTGTCTGATGTATAATGCTGCGTATGGTTCTTACAGCCGATTGGTTTACCCGAATTCCAAAAATAGAAGACCTTTTTGCTCACCTGTAGTTGTATCTAGATGTACAAATACTGCAGTTCTTTTTTTTGGCTCAGGTTTTAGAAGTCAGAACTGGGGGGTGATAGGAGTTTTGTTTCGGATTACTCCTAACCTTCCCTAATAAACTCACTACAGTTTCCATTGCAAACATTTCTAAAGCAGAAAGTGGTTCAGTTAGACACTAGAGGCACTTTACGGCAAACGGTTTCCGTAGGTAACAACCCCCCCCCCCCCAAAAAACAATTTTTTGGATTCAGCTCTGAAAGAATCCAAACAGAAATTATTATTTGGCTCGAAGAAAAAAAATCCCCCGTAAACACACATGGACTTAATAATTCGGCATTACCAGAAATAGGACTGAATGAAAATGCTTAGCTGGTAGCCAAACAGCTGATGAATGAACCAGTGATTCTGAGGCATGAAAAAAACAGCTGATGCAAATCAGCAAACATAAGCATGACTTCAGTGCTCTTTGCTGCAATTAAAATCAAAAGACAATTCACTGTGTTGTGGTTGAGTTTAACAAAATGAAAATCTGTTCAAATAAAAACAGAAGTGTCTGCATGACTAAATAGCACTTGAGGCAAATGTTTTTCTGTTATTTTTGGTGATTTATACTCTTTAATATTAATAGTTAGAAATCTTTGTGTTCAGGGCTCGTTTAGTCTTTATGGGAGAGTTTAAACTGAAAAATAAAAAGCTGTCTAAATAAATCTCCAGTGAATGAAGTTAATTTGCAATAAATGATGTTAAGTATTTAAGGTGGACATGGGACTGGTGGGCAGTTTGGCAAAGTATAACCAAATGTTTACTTGAACGGCACTGCTTGAGTAATTCACAGGAAGAGTTCAATATTTTGGGAAATAGGTTTAATTCTCATTCTTGCCAAGGATTGGATGAGAAAATTGTTGCCACTCTCATGTCTTTGTGGTAAATATGAAGCTGCTGCTTGGCGACACTTGTCTGAGCTTAGCAAAAAGGCTAGAAACTGGAGAAAACAGCTAACGTAGTCCAAAAACGAAATAAATATGCCACTTTTCTGAAGCAATTTGTTGTCTTGGCGGGAGTTGAGATCATGAGGTGGTCACCACAACCAGTGGAGGCAAGGCCAAAGAACATGTTTGTAATTGGATTTAAAAAAAAAAAAAAAATTGAGTGTGGTTTAAGCTAAACTAGAAACAGTGTGTTAATTATTGAGCATTTGTGCACTTGCCTATGCTCCAGGTTTAATGCTAAGCTAAGCTAATCACCTCCAGACTCCAGTTCTATATTGGTCCGTACGCACATGAGAGTCGTGACAATCTTTTTATTTTTCTCTCTACAATACAGCAAAAATGCGTATTTCCCAAAATGTGGAACTATTCCTTAAAAAGGCCGTGTGTGGTTTGTCTGTGAGAGATGATGACTTTGCCTTTGTGGGCTCTTAACGCTGCTCTTTTCATGTCTTCCCTCAGGGGAGTGAGGTAGGTTGGAACTCCATTGTGACTATCACTGCCGCCGCAGCAGTGCTACTAGTGATGACGAGCTTATTGAGAGCTCTCATCCGCTGTTGATTGGATGGGTAACAACTGCACAGGGACGGACGTCCGCTTCAGACCAGCCCTCGTTCTCTCCTTCCACGTCTACAGACTGAACTGGAATGATCTAAATGTGATAGAACTGTGTAGTAGAAAAACCTGTTGGAAGTTTTTTTTATCTCTAATGAGATGGTACTACATGCACACGGAGACTGAGAAAAATGTGCTCGGTCTCGCTTGGGACTGAAAACGAAGATGAGCTGACCTGCAGATTGCCCACACGAGGACTGATGTGTCCGCTAAATGTATGCTAGTGCTGTGTCATCCCTCCTCTGTGTCTGTGAATGTTACTTTTCTCTCCTTTAACAATGTGACAAAATGAAGGTCTTGATTATTAATGTGCACCAAATGGGTTTGACTTTATTTAATCATTATTTATTTATTTGTTGTTTTATTTTTTTATTTTTATTATTGTTCATAGGTGTCTCTTATAATAATAATGATGAATTTTCAGCCTGGACACAATGCACTGAAAGGCCCGAAATGTACATATGTAACACCCTTAAAACATTAACAGAAAGTGCTTTTAACTAGCCCTCAAAGTACTAAATGCAATAAATGCAAAATACTGCCAAAGTGGTTTAGAGGTCACAAAATCATCATGAATTACCAAGTCTAACAGTCTCCCACAAATATTATCCTGCCAGTGTTATTCTGACCTTCCATTAGATATCGGTTTGTTCCATTGGCATGCAGCTGCACGACGCACAGGTAAGGCTAACCGAGCACCTGTCAATCCAGGCTTAGTGTATAATAAGGCATGTCACCCCTGGTGGGTGGACTCTCTGGAGCTCTTTCCCCTTTAATTATCAGTAAACTAACAAGCCAGAAAGCCAGTGCAGTGAGCTTAACTCATCTTGAATACTCACACTTTCAAATCTTGCAGCCCAAGCTGCATTGTTACACCTGTAGTAGGATTTTCCTTGTTATGTACTAGTAAATATATCACAGCAACTTTGGGAGTAAATCCTGGGATGATCGAAACATGTTGTTATGTTTTCATACATTTCAACTCAATGTCAGTTTGATTGTGGAGAAATAAACGTGTTTTTTCTTTTTCAATCGGCTTGGTTTTTCCAAGTGTATTGTTAGTAACTTTTGTGGTGATGGCGGATTACTGAAGGTACAAAGTGTGAGAAGGTCGATTGTCAGCTGGCAGCGTATCTGATAAACACCAGTTGACATTCGGTTGCAGATGGATTAAACCATTAATGCAGTAAAGTTTGTGAGGCCAATATATACACTGATATGGGTCCAAACTATGTAAATAGGAAGCTGTGAGAAAGATTTAGTCTAAGCATCAGTTCTGAAAATCCTACGTATGTGTTGAAGGATTCTGTTTGTGAATTTTTTTTTTTGTGTGGAAAACTTTTAGAACTGAAACAAGCATGCTAGAAAAACATATAGAAGCACAATATATGATTTATGTTTGTTATGTGGATACTGTTACTTTGTATTTCATGTAAATAGATGTGACATACAGTACTATGGGAGAGATATTTCTTAAATCCATTTGTACTAGCTTTGTAGAAAGGTTTATTCTATTTTGAAAGAGCATCGTATATTTGATAGCCAAATTATATGCTATGTAAATGTTTATTTATGGTGACGTTATTCAGAAGAATGGCTGGCACTGCTGGCCATTTTCAGTACCTCTATGTTTAAAGGCGGTGTCGTCATTGCATGTGTTTAGATTGCAGTTGACCTTAGTTGCCAGAAAACCTAATTCGACTTCTGGTTTTTTAAGTCTGTTATATTTCAGAAATATGTTTAAATCTTTTCTGAAACGTCCAAACGCAGAACCTTGTTGAGCGATGCCTGACCATTGTTATCTCTACGTATGAACATAGATTAAGTAAATAATGTGCCATTGGACTGCAAATGTTGTCACTATTTGATCATTTTGCAATAGAAATCGAATTCCATTAACTGAATACTGTCAGATTCTTATTTATCATTATTTCTGAGCTTATTTCACGAATTAGCCGTCATAGTTTCAGAGGCTTCAAAGTGTTTCTCAGCTTGTTGCTTTACATGTGGATAGCATTGTTGTTTTCAATATAGCTGTGGCTATTTTGTTACCTGGAGGTCTATTTTGCACTGTAAATGACTTGAGAAAATAAATATTCCCGACCCACATGACGTCTGCGAGCTTTCTTTTCCTGGTTGGTGGCCTCATCTGCTATTACAGTCACAAGGTTGAAGGTCTCGTGGAATCCCATTCATGAAAACGTCGGGAGTCAACCTGAGCAAGAACCGTCGCTCTGCTGGCGTCACGTTACACGAGTCGCGTAGATATTAATAACCTTCACTCCAGAGACGTGACATAAGCTCAGAGACATGGCTTCTTTACAGATGGCGGGAACTGATGTGTCAACGTTGTTTATGAGGCTACACTCATTACTCCATTGCCACGACTAATGGGTTTCCAGGTTTAGGTGACGCTAATTATCTAAAAGTGGAAACTAGTCGTAATGTACAGTTAGCATAACCTTCACCGAATGACAATCTGTCACTAGAGGTTTCCATTGAATTTCTTTCTGAGGAAATATCCCCTTTGGATTCTGAATCTAGTCTCCCCTTCTCATTTTGTGTCAGAGTTACGGCCAAAGAAATAAAAAATGTCAACAGTCTAAATATCAGATCCAGATCCCCAACAAAATGTAATCAACCGGCCCTTGGCCTCCAGCCTATCTGTCCAGCAAATTCTCCCCAAATCCCTTCTTAAATATTTAATATTTTCAACTGACAGGCTAACAGGGGGAAAAGCTAATTAAAAAAAGGTGGAAAGCTGACAGTGAGAGCAGCCATGGGCGATCTCCGGAGATGTAATGCCAACTCCACGGTGCCCAGGTCAACCGATCTAGATTTGTGATTTAGCTTTTGCTTTAGTTTAATTATTCACACACACACTTACTTTCTATCGAGGGCGGTAGGTGGAAACTAGTTTCTAACGTTATAACTGTCATTTGTTTTATTAGTGATGGATATCTCTAATTTTAAAAAATGTTCTCATATAACTGAGTCTGCAAACTTCCTTCAAATAAACTTCCAATCCTTTCGTTTAAACGCGACAGTTGACGTTTTATCGTGACGCTACAAAAGATAGAAAACTTTTTTTCATTTTTGTTAAATGCTTTTCTGGAGAGATGATAAATGAATCAGTGTTGTTTCATCGTTGCCAGTATTATTATTTATTGACAGAACTGTCTCACAATAGAAATAACACATCACTTGCTTTCATTATCACTGGAGAATAATTCAGCGCATGCTTCAAGTGAGCACACAATTATCCTGCAGTGCCAAGGTCTGACCGTAACTAGCAGAATAGTTTTATGAGCAGAGCAGAGGAGGGTAAAACTTGAATGTCAATGGGTCCATTTGTTTCTATCAGAAGGGAAGTAAATCCTCTGTGTGGAAGGAAACCAAAGTGAAATGGTTCTGGAGCTTCACTGAACTTTCTGAGAGGCTCTGACCTAATTCAGGTGACAACACTGTGTATGTGACAGCCTATTAACAAATGGCTAAAAATACTATGAAGAAAAGAAAACACACACAAACATACACAGAAATGTTTGGAGTATCTTATTACATGGTGGGAGATCAATATGGGGACCCCTGCTGAAGCCTCAGTGAGTATCCTGAGAATGCCTCCTGCATCTGTCACAGTTATTCTTACCTCCCACTACTTCATCAAGGCTGCTGCTGGCATCTGGTGTCACTGGCATGTCACTGAGTGCTGAGTCACAACATCATGACAATCCACGAACCTGCAGCAAACACAGCGTTCACTCTGACTCACTCATTTTGTACACAGATCATTGAAATTTCTACGAGCTTCCCCCGGTGCATTTCAATACGCAGCCTCACCATCAATGAGCACCACCACGCTGTCACTGAGCAGAGTTGGAGACGATGCTCATTTACTATTTGCATGCAATTGAAAATATGTTTAAAATGAAGGCAATTTTTAAAATTTAGACTTTGTGAGCTGAAAGAAAATATTTAGGATCTTCACAAAATGGGACACATATTACTATGGTTTTACATGACAGAGCAGAAATGTGAATGAACGAACATCAAAGTCCAAATCATCTCATAACCTTCATTCTGAAAAGTAATTCATTGGACGTATTCCCACCGCGTGAATAAGCTGTGTGGCTGCAAGATAAAAAATAAAACCTTTTAAGTTTCAAACATTATCTTGATGAGCTACTTTGACACAAGAATGTTGGTGATTACATCAACTGAATATTGTGTGTAAATTAAACTCAGATTTGTTGTTTTTTGTTTTCTAAATTTAAATACTGCGTGTTTAAAATACACAACTACAGTCCAGAATAAAAAGTAAATTGTTGGCAATATTGTGATTGAACTACTTTCTTAAAAGCTGCTACAAGAACAGAAACATAAAAAGAAATTCAGAAAATTTAGTTGGAGCAAGTTATTTAAAAAAAAAATTTGCCAACTTAAAAAAATGTGTTTGTAAATATGGTAATGAAGTACATAACACAGAAAATAATGTGAAATTACCTGGAACAATTGAAACAACATCATTTTTCTCAGTAATTAGCTTATAAACTTGTGTTTATGGTACTAATTATTAGAAAAAAAATGTGAAAATTAAAAAGGACCTTTGACTGTTGAGGAAAAGTTTTGATTTTGCTAACTCAGTGCAGTTTGATGGTTCAAAATAACATCATTAGAAGTTTTCCAAACTCAAATTGTTGCTTTCATGTTTCTCCTTCAGCTCAAGCATTATTTTTTAGAGTGTATCCAGGGTTTGGCTTGTCTACACAGAAATGCATTTCACTTGGTGCTGACAGATAACTGCCAAACAATGCGTTGCTTCATCTTTACCACAATGACCTCATCCTTAAAAATGTCTATCTCTGAGGCCTCAGTTGGAGATTTTAATGAGTGAAATCTCACTTTTTTGACAGTTATCACGCGTAAAATGGTAACTTAGTGGGACAGAGGGACTCGCTGCACATTTCTTTTCTTAGTTCAGTTGTTCAGCCTGTTGGACCCTGAGCAGCATGACACACATTCACAACAATCGGTCAGTCCCAGCCCCCCCACTCCACCCACCAGCCCAAATAGGAGCGCCTAAAAATAAGGCGCATGCCGCAACTGTTGCGCTGCTCGGGGTCTGACCAATCCCTGCCCCCTCCTCCGCGTAAACCGACCCCGACTCCCGTTATCCTTATGGATGAGCAAATAGACTATGATCACAGCCGCACAGTGACGCGTCCCGGGGCTCCTTTATAAAGCCAACTCTTTGCTCTCTCAACATTCAAGTTAAACAGACTCAGTGCTGCTCCAGCTCACCTGCCACCAAACTCCACTTTTTCTGAAAGCGACATTCTTCTCGGGGCCGTATTAGGAAGGAACGACTTGTCAGCAAGGTGCCAATTAAAAGAAAGAAAAAAAGAAACAGCGGACGACCAGCTGCCTTGCACATTGTAAATCGGATAATTTAATCCATCACTGTCCTGACATAAGTAGCTCCTTCGCAAGTACATCCGAAAAGTCTCCGGGCTGCTTTTTTTCAACTCATCCAAGGCTGAACTTTCCTTTCGCGAGAGCGCGCTTGCCATCGACCTGCTAAAAGTTTTCTGCGCTGCTGAGCGCACAGTTCCACACACAAGTGTCACCGAGGTATAAAAGTGGACACGGAAAAAGCCACCATGATGAGCAACAACTACGGCGACGAGCAGCTGCCTCCACAGTACTACCAGGCCACTGACTTCGGGGAAGAGGAGGACGAAGAGATGCCAGCCACGGAGAAGGACTTGGCCGAGGACGCGCCATGGAAGAAGATCCAGCAGAACACCTTCACCAGGTGGTGCAACGAGCACCTCAAGTGCGTCAACAAGACCATTACCGACCTGCAGAAGGATTTTAGTGATGGGCTCAAGCTCATTTCACTCTTGGAGGTTTTGAGCCAGAAGAAAATGTACAGAAAGCACCACACCAGACCCAACTTTCGTCAGATGAAACTGGAGAATGTTTCTGTGGCACTAGAGTTCCTGGACAGAGAGCACATCAAACTGGTCTCAATAGGTGAGTTAATCTTGGGCTTTAATGGCTTCTGTAATGGAAAGTTCAGTAATAAAACAGTAGCAGTAAAACATCACCAGGCCTGTCATTGTACAGGAAGAAGTAATGAAAGGAGGCGTTTATGATAACTGAGCATGTGCCAGAATCCTCATAAAATGCATAGATTTTTAAAGTTAAGCCAACGAAAGCATTTGAAACCTTTTGAAGTTCGCTAGACTGTCATATCTTCACCAACATGGTCTCTGTTGGTATGTTATCAGCCCTGGTGTCAGCCAGCAGCCACACATGGCTTTACACAGGCCTCTGGAAAGCTGTGTTGAGTTGGGGGTCAACAGCTTATTGGAAAGTTACTGCAGAGGTGCCACTGAGGTCATTAACTTGTGTCAGGGCCAAGACCTAGTGGCTGCACTCTATCGCTTTTGCATACTCCCGCCGCAGCAATGTGGTGAACTATGGGCTGGAAATTCACTAGGACTGTGCTAATGAGAATGACACAATTTATATGTGAGGGCAGCAGCCACACACAAACACACACACACACACACACACGCCTATACACACTTGTCTCTGTGGGGTCAGAGGTCAGAACAACTCACGCTGACAGCCAGTTGCTGTCCGGAGCCATCAGCAGCTCTGTGAGGTGAGGATTAAGTCTGGTGGGATTTGGGGAGGATCACGCTGCGGCACAGAAAGCTGAAGTTACATTAAATTGTTGTGGATTTGTGGGCATTTTTTTTGTCACATCCGCAGGGTCACAATGGAAGGACTTTGCTCCGAGAAAGCGAACAGGAAGGCACTTAAAAAAATGTAATAACTCCAGAGAAACTAGTAACCTCATATGAAATGCATAGACATTGCAAGAAGAAGAGTGGTTTTATTAGACACCTGTAGACAAGCCCACAATTCATGCAGGAAAGTAGTTATTAAACGTTGACAGAGCATCTTTCTGTTTCGGTGGCTAATGATCCTGCCACACACTTGAGCGAAATTCCTGGCATGGCTGAGGCTTTGGCCGTTGGACTGTGAAGGCCACAGCGTGTCCACCTGGACAAGCACTGAGTGTGTTTGTTTTAATG